CAGTAAAATTGCCACAAAGCATGTTTTATTGTCAGCGGTGTAAATCTGTGAATATCGCTTTGTGACCAGTTTTAGTTGGTGGATTTAAATGAGGTTATAAAGAATTTACCCCCGAGTATAGCACTCACCACAATGCATCATAAATATGCTCTCATCTATGAGCATCTTTATGGATAACTAAATGCCATTTTCATCCTTTTATCTCTAACTTAGTACTTACTACTTTTAGGTACTTGATAAATGCTCTCGAAATTGAATTATGGAGGCAATTATAATTATCTAGATTGTAAGCTCTGTGAGGTCTTACAATCTTTAAAAGTTGTGTTTTGTTTATCTTTGAGTTCTTTACAGTCCCAGTACATTACTTTGCATATACAAAAATCTTCTAAATGTTTTTGTTGGATTAAATTATTGAAGACAGATCAACTCCCCTACTGTGGAAACTAATGTGAAAAGTATTAATGATTCTTAAAGTCAGGGTTTAAACTCCTTTTGAACCTTTGGTTAAAAATTATCCTAGTTTATTATTTTACAAACAGTAATATTTTTCTTATCAGGCTATATAGAATGCTAAATGCTAATGTCCCAGACTTTGATGGATATCATACAATAGATTTATTCTCTATCTACTGTATACATGCACTTAATCTGTTATTTTATTTAATGTTCACACTAATCCATGTGGGAAGACTATTTATGTCACATTTTACATATGACAAGACTGAGACTAAGAGATATTCAATAACTTCTCCAACTTGCAGGCAACTCTCAGCAAGGCAGAGTCAGAAATTATTAGACCCATGTCTTTCTGAGAGCTAAGCATGTGATCATTTCTACTTTACTGTAATGCTTCTAAGAAACAAAGTGAAAAGAAAGAAACTAGTTTAAATATATTATGAAAATTATCTATGATTTTGAATAAACAAATTTTATGGTAGGATAAGTATAGGTATCCAAGAAGCATCCAGTATTATTAATAGTATTTGAGGGATTAATATGTGAGAAACTAAAATTAAATTTTAAAAGGGCGATTGTTCAATAGAGAAAGGTACATTCGTCCTAGATACCTCACATTTCTCTCCTCTTTACAAATATTAGAAAGATTCTATAATCTTGGACTCTTTGCCCTGGTCTGTTGTCATTTTTGTTTTAGGAAGACAGCATCCTATTTTTCACTGTTCCATAACTCACATGTACAAGTAATGGGGAAAAGAGGGAGAGACTGTATACCTTTATGAATAGTTAGGGAACCTTGACATGGATAAGGAGAATCAATTCTGTGCACACCTTCATATATACCGACTTCTAGATGTTTCTCTAACTGGCAGCTAGTAAGCAAAATGAATGTCCTTAAAATTCCCTTTCTAGGGCCGGCCCGGTGGCGCACTGCACTAGTGCGCTGCTTGGGAAGCGTGGCGGCGCTCCCACCGAGGGTTCGGATCCCACATACAGACCGGTTCCCGCTCACTGGCTGAGCGAGGCGCTGGGGCAACGCCGAGGGTTGCGATCCCGTTGCCGGTCCCGGTCCGGTACGGGGGCAACACTGAGGGTTGCGATCCGTTGCCGGACATGGAAAAAGACAAAAAAAAAAAAAAAAAAAAAATTCCCTTTCTACTCTGAAGAACAGTTTTGTAAATTGACATATATTAATAACTCTGTAAGAGAGGTCTGTTATTATTTTAAATGACTCTCAGTTTTAATGTTGTCAATAGGATGTTCTGAAAAATGAAATGAGGGCTTAAAAATACTATTGTTGGTAGATACAAAGCTGTATTTAATGCCTAATTAGTAAGAGAAATGTCTCTAGTATAATGGTTTTGTTTTCTTGGTAAACAAAATAGGATTTAAAACCACCTTGTGCTTCATATCAGTACTGTTGGACATTCTTTACTTTTCCAGTGATTTCAGTTAGTGTTTGAGTGTGCATGTGTGTATGTGTGCATTAGAGACAAAAGTGTCCCCCAAACATACTTTGTTTTCTTGACAATAAAATTTCATGGTCTAACGCTCATAACTTTGCTTTTATTTATTGTAAGTAATTTGCTTGAATTTCCTTTTAGTTCCACCTTTCCAGTTCTGTCTTATGTGAATTAAATTCAACCAATATTTATTAAACACCATAATGTGCCCAAAACATTTAAATAATGGATAATTCAGTGCATGTCTTTTCTTTGTGGCAGCAAAATCGGTCACCTTCAAATGACTGTGGAACTGAGCTACATTTTAGCTTTAGCAGTCACCTCCTTTTCACAGTCATTTTGCCATTGTGTCAAATTAGTAGTTCATCTGTTGTGCTATCTGGAAGTTTCCATTTACTTTTATCAAAGACAGGCGAATCATACGAGAAATGTGCCTAACTAATACCTGTCATAGCATAATACCAAAACATGACACTGATACATGATGACAGATTATACTGCAAGAGCTCTCTGCTCTAGGTTATGATGATTTAGTTGCATGTTTTCATTCTTTTAACAGATTACACACACCTCGAGGGGAGACCGCACAGATCTATGCAGTAGTTGCTTGACAGAATTTTCAAGGAGCATATAACAAAGAATTGCAAGGAAAAGATCTAGCAAGGACTCTAGCTTAAATTTGCTGTTACCTTTGGCAAGTCATTTAATCTCTTTGCACCTCAGATCCTTGATGTCTAAAACAAGGGAATTGAATCAACCCAGACTTTAATTTATTTTTATTATTTTTAAACTGCAGATCACTGTAAGATATAAGGGCAGAAACCAGAGATACTCAAAATCCTCCATCACAATATCTGGCACATTACAATGTTTAATATATATCAGTTGAATTGAATTGAATTTGTTCAGTCAAAATCTTGGGGGAATGCTGATATGTAAGGTAAATAAAAGCAGAGGTGCTTTTGTCAAAGAGGAGTGGGTGACATAAGACATGGAGTTAAGTACAGAGGGCCACCACTTGTATCCATTTTCACTTCATTTGTCCAGAGGAGCACTGTGCAAATCATATGGCTTTAGGGAACATGGTTTAAAAATCAAAGAACATAACAACCATAGAATTCTTTCTGTATTCAGTGTTCTATGGTTTCATGACTGAGCTTTAAAGAATTCCCTTGTTAACTTAAAGTCTGTCACATGAGAGTAATATGAAAGGTCTTAAGGATGTATGATTATGCCACAAAGTGGGTGGTGGATTGGGTAGAGAACCACAAAACCATTTTATATTTATGAACAAATGTGCTACATATGGATTTTATTATCTTTCTCTACAGATCTTCTTTCCTATTACCACATACTAGTGTGGGATGTGTTTGAATAGGGAAGATTTCTCTCAGTTGCTTTCTGTAACAAACTGCCAAATTGTCTACTTGTAACTACATAATCATAAGATTTTATGAACTGAGTAAATTTATCAAATAAACCAGTTATTTTGATACCATCGTTGCTTTTGAAGTTCACTGAAATTGTTTGATAACCAGAGTCTAAGAAATCGGGCTCTTTGACTACAAATGGTGAACTATTTTGCTAACATTGAATGGATAGGCTGATTATTTAGGTGGTCAGAGAATAAAGTCCATTAAGATCACTTTGGGCAAGAAATAAGAGTATTTAAGGTTAATAAGAGTGATGTCATATATTTGAGAACGATTTCAAAATAATTGATATCATCCTGTTACCCAAACTTTCCTTTCCCCTTTATTCTCATTCTCTTATTAAATCGTAATAAAGGTGAATGAATAATGCGTTCAATTAGTTATGAACAAAAGCTATCACTCCTTTGTGAGGTTGGTCTCCCAAACCAGGATTCTTAAAACTTATCTGTTTTTTTGACCTAGGGTACATCATCCTTTTGCACTGATTGTGTTTTTTGTTAAAGAGAGATCAAGGCAAGCTGCCGAAGCAACTTGAATTCTTGAATCCTCTGGCAATAAGTACATGTGGTCAACTCCTGGCAGTTCTGTCTAGATCAGCCTTCCAGTTATCAACGAAGCTGGCATGTCCTCCTGGCAACGAAGAAATAAAGGCTTCAAAGCAAAAACATTTAATACAGCAACCCTTAGTTGATCATTTCTCACTTGATACAAAGTAGAAGTTGCAGTGACAGGTTTCAAGGGACTCAGGCAATTCAATCAGAGAAGGCAAGGTGGGGGGCAGGAAGGCTAATGAAGGAGAACTGACTATTTTCCTAAAGTTCAGATAGTCTAGTTTAAGTAGGAATGAAGTGTGCAATAGGAAACTTCAAGATGCTTAATAAAAAACTCTTAGATTCATAGGCCGATAATTGAAATTGACAAAAGCACAGAGCAGAAATGTGTGGAAGCTTAAAATCAAAGAGAGTATGTCCTGAAAATTAGCAATAAATACTATAAAATGTAATGGTAATAGTAATAAAGGGTTTAGACTAAATGGAAAATATCATTTAAAAAATATTTTCTTGGTGTGGGCGTGCATGCTTGTACATGTACTAATTTAATGCCACATTGCTACCCCATTTAGAGAATATGTACGTAGGAAATACTTAATGTAATTACTAGATTGTAGGATTTAAGGGATGTGATCCAGGGTATGGAGACTAGGAATAAGATTAAGAAGTATGAGACAATTTATGCTAAAAAAATAGTTGTAACACATGCCACATTTATAACATGCAACTTTAGTTAATACAGAAAAAAAAATGGGGACATCCCTTTAAAAGAAAAACAAGGCATAAACTGAAAATGTTTTGTGAAGCATAGTCATAAGTTCTTAGGGACTGACCAATCCCAATTCTGTAATTCAGTAGTGTCATGTGACTGTCAATCTAGAAGTTTTATATTTTACTCATGTACAATATAATAGCTTGTCAGCTTGCATTAAGGTACTACTTGCAATATGTAAGTCATTACATGGTAGAGTGCTTTGACACTACTTTAAGAATGAATAATATTTGGGAAAATAAACTATATTTTACCCTCTAGTTCATGCAATGTACCTATAAGTCTCTGTATTATTTTTATTATTGTTGTTGTTGTTGTTTTTCAGCCCCTCTGACTGATAAGCCACCCAAGCTTTTGTATCCTGTGGAAAGTAAACTGACAATTCAGGAGACTCAGCTGGGTGAGTAATTCTTAATACACTTTTCTCAATACATTCTGACAGATAATAAGCCTAGATTGTAACCTGATGTAATACTCTGAGCTAAACCCATGTGTATTTACAGAGAGCAGAGTTAGAAAATGTCCGCATACCTAGCATTCCATTCCCTGCAGTACATGCCATACGACCAACTTGGACATGTGGATATAAAAACTCATATGCTATTTAGATGGTTGTTAGGAAATGAGATAGGCTGAAGATTTAGTGATGGTATTTTACTGCCATTTTATAATGCTTGAATTGTTTTTTTAAAAGGCAATATGGAACAAATTTGAGTTATAAAATCCACTAATATATTTTTGAAATTTTTTTTTTTTTTTTTTTTTTTTTTTTTTTTCCCTCTCTCCCCTCCCCCCCAAGAATGTCCTTTCCGTTTGTTTGTTGTAACAACTACAAAAAAAAGTATAGTTGTTTGAGGAAAGAATGCAAATTCATTAAAATAAATGTCACCATTTTGGTTAAAAAGCATTTTAATGTAATCAAATATAATATAAATTATGCTAGTTAAGTTTTGGATAATATATTAATAAAATGTGAGCAAATGACTTTTGGTCAAGGGACTAGTAGATTTGAGACATAAGGCCATGGACACAATATGCTTTGATAAAAATTTTCAGTTGTACACAAATCAGAATTCTAAAATACTTACCTTGAAGCTAAGTCTAGGATTTTTGAGTCTGATTTAGCTATATTCAGTTATACCAAATTGTGGTAAATTTTCCCTCTTAATTATAAATATAAAGAGTACATTCTATTATATCATCATAGGTTTTATTTTTATTTGAAATGTAGTATTCCTGTATATATCATACAATTCAGCAGAGAAAGATTTGCTTTTAGTGATTTTTGTATAAAAGATTATCAAAAGTAATTTTAAATATACGTGTTTGTTAAGGAATTTCTTCTTACATTAATAATTCAAGAGTGAAAATGTATTAATAACATATCCAAAGTTATAGTGCATAAAAATATGATAATGGTTTTAGAATCTATAAAATTATTGTAATCAGTGGATTTTTAACACTGGGAATGCTTATTTTTGCTAACTTCGAGTCATAAACATATGCAGAATTTATAAATCTCAGAGTGTTAATATGCTTCTTTGATGGCAAATTCAACCCTTTTTTAATTAATACATATGCATGCAATTATTATTATAATTGTTATTTTGAGATGGAAAACTACAGGTAGCATTAAAACAACACAGTATATGAACAAAACAGATGTACTAAAATTGTATCATGCTCTTTACTTATGCTATGGTATATTTAATTATATTTGAATTTATTGCTACTTTATAAAGAAATTTTGAAATGTAAATTCTCCTAAGTAACCATTGTCATACAGACCTTTCAATAACTCTTGGAAGATGTATTTCTAAGGAGTTATTCAAAACTATAAACATCTTGGGCCAAGAAGGAAGAGATTTATGGTACCAGCTATCTGTAATGAACACAGCAAAAATGAAATTAATTGTATGTTTTTACTTGACAACATAATCAAAAGAATTTTATGAATGACAGTTGTCCATTGGATTTTTTTCTTGTCCCTGAATTTGTAATACATCCGATTGTTATCTATCTCCTACTACAGTATTTTACAAAATGGAATAATTTGTAAAGCTTTTTTTTTTAATACATTACCCTTCCTGAATGAAGTCTTAAAGACTAACCATACCAATTTGAAAATATGAAAATTTCATATACAAATTGGAAGGTTTGACTTTACTCATGCATTCATTTGAAGAAATATGGTCACGTCTATTATCAAAATGCTACAAGACATACTCTAACTTCTTTACTGTCACTAAAAAAAGGACTCATGAGCTCTTTTTAACCACTAACTAAACTAGAGACCTGGGGTTTAGATTCTATAAAAACAACCTTTGTTTTGTTTTATTTTCTGATTCCAGTTCTCAGCATATCAGATAAATCATTCACTAGTTAGAAAAATGTAACCTTGATTCTTGGATTTTTGAGCAATAGTTGGTTTGAAATAACTACCTTGCTAGTGTGGTTACTACCTTGCTAGCACTGCTAGTAGGCAAATAACTGATCAAAATGATAAATGAAAATAGGAAAGTATATTAAAGACAAAAAAAAAGACCTGAGATACCTAAAATATACTTGTTTTCTAAAATATGTACCTTGACTTTTTACTTCCTTAAGGATTTAATTTTTGTCATTTCCAAATTTGAAAAAGCTATCAATTTTGGGCCGAGCACGTGGCACACTCAGTAGAGTGCGGCACTGGGAGCGCAGCAGCACTCCCGCGGCGGGTTCGGATCCTATATAGGGATGGCCGGCATGCTCACTGGCTGAGCGCAGTGTGGCAGGTCTCAAAAAGGACAAAAAAAAAAAAAAAAGAAAAAGCTATCAATTTTAACAGGTCCAAAAGGTGATATCAAATTCTGAGAAAGGGGAACTGAGTGAAAAGTCATAGGGTGAGAATAAGGGGGGTGGCCTGCACCAGTGTTGGGAAACCTATCAGTGGTGTCTACTCTTATGATAAGGAGAAAATCTCCAACAGAATTTCATTGGCCAATTCAGGGGTCTGCCTGAACCTGTTCCTAAACTGGGAGTTGAGCTCAGAGGGTAATAAAACTCCTGTATGAGCTGTATTTTAAGAAAAATCATCCAGAACTATTCAAAGCTTAGCTGTTGCATGTCTAATGATCTGACTTGAGCATCCTGGCTAAGTTACACACAAATCCAACCAACCCTGGTAACTGTAAGTCCATCAGTTGTGTAGTTTGTTTGCAAATATATACAATTCATTAATAATGAACTTCGATGAAATCATGAAGTTCATGGATTTGCCCTTCATCTCCAAATTCATTTTTCTCTATTTTCTACCGATAATGCCTACCTTTCTCTTTTTGTATCCGTTGTGTCCTCCTGTTCTTCTCCTTCATCTTCTCAAACTAAAAATGGTCTGATAGTGATCATTTAAACTATTTCAATGCAGAAAGCAAAAGGCACTAATAAGCAAAGTACTTAGGAAAAAATAATATACTAGTAACTAAATTCATATTAAAATATATAAATTTATGGGCTTGAATTTCAACCAGTATTTGGTCATAGCCTGGCATTTCTGCTTTAAGTGGCATCTGTGTGTTATTTCTAAATGTGAAAAAAAGAACTTTGTCCCTTTTAAATAACTTTCAGGCATCAGCAAATATATGGACAGCACATTCTTGGGCAAAAGGCCCAGAAATCACACTGTACAATTCTTAAGGTCAATCCAGGAAGTGAACCTGACTTAGTTCTTTCAGGCTGCTGTAGTCAATCAAAAGACAGACACAATTGTCCTGCTGAGCTTGAGGCCAGAGGATGTCATTCAGAGATGTGGCCTGCTTGTTATGGCCAGGAGCCCACTTTCAGAAGTTTCCAGAGCAGAAGATGGCATATTCCATCACTACCAAACTTTCAAAAGATAGAAATCCATCCTACCTTTGACTTAGTGAGACAAATGTTTTACAACCCAGAATTTACTGAAAAGTATCATTAATTATTCATCTAGATATGGGTATCACTTTATTCAAATTTTGGGTTTTGCTTTAAAAATAATTGTATAGGTTAGTGGTAAATTCTTGGGGGAAATAGAGAAATTTGGGGAAATAGGGATCTTGTTTCTTACACTCTACATTATAAACACACTCTTCTCCTAATAAATGTTCTCAGAAAACACCCTTTTAATGGCTGCATAATATCCATGTAAATGTCCTATAATTTCATATATGTTGCTGGGAATTTGGATTGTTCCAATTTTCATTGTCATAATGATATGGTGATCTTTACCTACACGTTTCCCCTGACTTTATAGTAATTTCAACAGGAAAGATTATTAAGAAGAAAAATACCATATAAAAAGAAATAATTTTGTTAAAAGCTCTTGCTACGTGTTTTCAGAATTCTTACCAGAGAAGTTGTACAAACTCTCACCAGAACTATATAATGAGTATAATAACTTTTTAATCTTTAATAAAATTAATAAAATAATATACCTGTATAACATATAGCTTTTAAAGAACAAAAATTTTCGTTTGATATCAAAATCACTTTTTCATCACCTCTTTTACCTTTTTCTCTCTATTCACTCATTGAATACACATGCCCTTTTTTTTTTTGAGTTTATCCACATTTGGAGGATCTACTACATTTAGGTAAGTGTCTATGGTTGAGGAAATATAGAAACAACTGAATGTCAACAGTACCTATCCATTTTCTTCTTGCTCATCCCAGTGCTTAACTAAGACCTTTCTCTAGATTCTATGTTTCTTAACTAAGTGCTCAGTAATTTTGTGATGTATTCTAGGCACGTGAAATGTCGATAAATACTAATTGACAATAAGGTGTACATACCACAAAGGGCACACATCTCTAAGTTTTCTGCAAGAGAATATAATGAGGAGACTGATCTAGATAAGCTGCCCCAAAGCACTCTAATTTTTCTTTATTAATTTATTTTCATTTGTTAAGTTTGTTAAAAAACAAACATTTAGTGTATCTTAGCAAGTAACAAGGATTCACCAGATGTTAACATCTAAAAGAAAATGGTTGATGATATAATAAAACTCCAAAATTTTAAACATCAATCATGATAAAAAGACACATATATATGTAACATCATCCAATTTAATTATAGGCTAATTAAAATAAAATATCACACTAAATTAACTAGCATTCCTTGCCTTATTCCACCTTACGGTAGTTTGCAGAATTTTTAATTTTAAGTAGACTGAGGGGAAAATGTCCAAACTTTATATAATAGGTACACATTTATATTTTTATAGAAAAATCTTTGCCATGAAAATGATACATTATTTAGTTTACTTTGTTGCTAATATAAATATTTATTAAGATATACTCTACTTTGATGCTTCATATATTCTGGAAATGTGTATAGAAATATATTATGTGTGGAATGTGTTCTATTACAAATATGCTAGTTGAGGTTCT